AGTGTGTTCACATTGAATATTTGTTTCAGCTGATGCGAGTCATAGGCGCGCACATACGACTTGAAGGCCTCCTTGGCTGACTGATTAAGGAAATAGTTTTTCGCTATCAGTTTCTCTAGCTAAATATAAAGAGGATATTATGATAATTTGTATATAGTATATATAGCTATAGGGCTTACCTGCAGCTGTATATCGGCAATCTTTTGCCAGGAGAACTCAAATTCATTGAGCGGCACCTTGGCTGCCTTCAGATAGCGCAAGAAGCCCAATTCCTCTGGTCGTAGCATTAGCAGAGCATGTCCCGATGTGCCTGATCCGCGTGCCGTACGACCCACACGATGAATATACTCGCGTGGATCATCTGGCGGATCGTACTGTACAATCCAATCGACTTGCGGTATATCTAGACCACGTGCCGCCACATCCGTGCAGAGCAGAATGCCCGTCTCGGCATTGCAGAATTGGAAGAAGGTCGAGGTGCGTTTCGTTTGCTTCTGTTTCCCATGAATGGAAGTGACCGGTAAATCGATGTAGTTGAAGAGCTCATGATGATACTTGACCGACATGCACGAGGAAAAGAAAACCATGACCTTCTTCTTGCGATTCTTTTTTAGGAACGTAAAGAGCACCAGCAAACGCTTCTCCGATGGGCAAACAATGTAACCTTGCTCGAGGCCCTCAACGGTAGCCGTCTCTTCGTTATCGTGCACGCCCACATAGATCGGCTCCTTTTTCAGCGCCAACTTCGAAAGCGCATCGATGCGTTCCGTTTGTGTGGCCGAAAACAACATTGTCTGGCGGCGTTCTACAGAGAAAAGAGGAAATATATCAGGAGCCTGTCATCTTTACGCGAAATTCTTCACTTACTTGGCAACAAATTAATGATCTGCTTCAGTTCCTCCTCGAAACCAATTTCCAATATACGATCCACTTCATCAATAATCAAACACTGCAAGTTTTTGTATAGGAAATCCGGCGAATTCTGCAGATGATCCAACAGACGACCCGGCGTGGCCACCAGAATATTAATGCCTTTGCCCAGCTTTTCGCTCTCCACCTGACGATTGGAGCCACCCATGACCAAGCCATAGGTGTGATGATGATGTGCCATCAGCTCCTTGAGCACACCAAACGTTTGCATGGACAGCTCGCGTGTGGGCGAGATAATAATGACGCCCGTGCCGTTGCGCGGCATAAAGCGCAGCTTATTGATCAATTCCACGGCGGGTATAAGGAACGCAAGCGTTTTGCCAGAACCCGTTTGGGCAGCGCCCACCAGATCCCGACCCTTGAGCAATGGCGTCAAAGACTTGGCCTGAATTTCAGTCATCTCGGAGAAGCCCATCTCGGCAATGGCTTGTAATGTGGCTTCAGAAACGGCGCCTTTGAGTGAAGCAAAGCTGCGATCATCGGAATCACGTTGATCCAATGCGGACAATGAGGATTCCACGGTAAAGGGCGTGTCATCTTCTGTAGCGTTGCCATTTGTTGTGGCAGCCTTTTTGACTGCTTTAGGCTGTTGCTTGGATTTCTTGGCCGGCACCGGTGTGTCCTCCTCTGAATCGGGTGAGTCTGCAGCTACAAGTGTTATGATAACAATTAACAAGGATTTCCTATTAACTAATCTAATGCATTAATTATGTTTTTCAGTTATTCTTCGAGTGTATCTCATGCTTCCACTTAACAACATTAACTCGCTGCTCTGGTGAAAATCAAATTCGCCTTTGAATCATCCTCAAACATAAATTAATCACTTTCTGCTAAACCATATTTTTAGTATACCTTCACTATCTATCTCCTCGTCGTCCTCATCATCTTCCCCTGACTCACTACCGCTCTCCGCCTCCTCTTGTTCATCTAATTCCGAGTCCGAATCGGAGTTTGCCACCTCGATTTGTGGCTTCTTTTTCTGCTGCTGGCGCTTCTTTCCTTTGAGCTGTGGCTGCTCTTGAAAATCGTCGTCCAAGTCATCTGCTAAGCATAAAATAATGTTTTATTATATATTATTAAATGCTGCATGTTTTCACACACCTTCAGCCTCCACAGGTCGCTTCTGCTTTTTTTGCTGGTTCTTGCCGGACTTTACGACTGGCGGTTCCGGCAATGCCTGCTTGGCTTTGCCCTTTTTCTGGGAGAGCTCCTTCTTCATTTTCTCGCGCTTGACAATTTTTTTCATAAGAAGCTTTTCTCTGATCGACATTTTAAGCAATTGCGGGTTTAAAAGAGATATATATATAAAACTTGGAATAAAACAAACGCGCACGTGTTGAAGTCCACGATTTTGCCATTCACATCTAAAAGTTGACAAATTGCTAAACAGCTGTGCATGCGTATATCGATAGATGGCGTAAGTTTATTCGATAACATTCCTGTATGGTACAAGTTTGATATTTTAACATTTTATTTTAAATGTTATTTAAAAAATGAAAATTATATTTAAACTTATCATTTAACGCCAAAATAAAGACTTGTTCTCTTAATTTGTACAATCAATTGATTATTTTACGTATTTAGTTATACCAGCTTTCTGAAATAGTTGGCATGCCGAAATTTGACAGTCACAACGAACAAGTAACTAACATAGAAACGCCACCTTGATGGAAATTTCTATAAACGTTTTTGTTTTCATTTTGTACAGTTTAGTGGTTTTATATTTGCAGCATTTTGTCAACAAGTACACGGAATTTGTGCGCAGTCTTTAGATGAACATGCTGGGACTGCAATCCTACGGCAGCTCCTCCGAGGGTGAATCGGACCACGAGCAGAACAAGGATGCAGCGCAAGAGTTGCCCGCGCATTTACAGCCGGTGGACAAAACGCATTCGCTGTCCACAGCGCTGGCCGTTTGTGCGGCGCCCGAAGTGGTGCCGATGGGAGCTGTAGCCGTTGCGCGAACGTTGGATCCAACGCTCAAGGAAGTAGCCTACAATCCACGCTACGATGAGATGTATGCGCCCGTGCAAGGCCCAGAGCATCCAGATTTGACCATGCAGCAGCGGGCGCCGCGCAACACGCTAGCTGGCTATGTGGAGAAGGCACACATCAATGCATTTGAATTTGAGAATCAGAGACGCACGTTCCACACCTATGGCTACGCCTTAGATCCCACAGTGGATGAGGCTGCCGATGGAAAGTCCTACGTGGGCGACTTGCAATCCGCATATGATGACAATGGCAAAACGGTATTTGAGGCGCCCAAGCCAAAAAAAATGCGCAAACAAGATAAAAATGATAATCCAGAAGATGTTGAGGGTTTCCTGGGACCATGGGGCAAATTCGAGAACGAGGTTAGCGTCGCCAAGCCAAATGAACAAGAGCGCGCTGAGCTGGATGAGCTGCTCTCCAAGCGACACAAACGCGGACGCATTCCCGAGGACAAGCCGCTCGAGGAAAAGTCCACGTTGCACAGTGAGTTTTCCGGCAATAGCTGGCGTATACATATATATTTATTTATTTAAATTAGTCTGTGTCCTGTGATTGACCTGGCCAACGCCGGGTAACATCTGTTAAAATTGTATACTGATATTTTCCTTGCATTTGTATTGCAGTCAAGGATGCTTACGATTACCAGGGACGCTCGTACCTACACGCACCACACGATCTAGGGGTCAATTTGCGCTCAAATGCGCCGCCGCCAAAATGTTTTTTGCCCAAGGCACACATACACACCTGGACGGGTCACAACAAGGGCATCTCGTCCATACGCTGGTTTCCCAAGACGGCGCATTTACTACTTTCCGGCTCCATGGATTGTCGCGTCAAGCTGTGGGAGGTCTATGGCGATCGACGCTGCGTGCGTACGTTCTCAGGCCATCGGCAGGCCATTAAAGATATTGCGTGGAACAACAAGGGCTCGCATTTTCTGTCTGCCTCGTATGATCGCTATATAAAACTATGGGATGCGGAGACGGGCGATGTCGTCTCGCGCTTTACTACACGCAAAATGCCATTTTGCGTTAAGTTTCATCCGGATAACAGTAAGCAGCATCTCTTTGTGGCCGGCACCTCCGACAAAAAGATCATTTGCGTAAGTTAAGCCGTTTATCCTAAATTATTGTACTAAAGTTTTATCTATTCCACAGTGGGACACGCGAAGCGGCGATATTGTGCAGGAATATGATCGTCATTTGGGCTCTGTCAGCACTATTACCTTTGTGGATGATAATCGTAGATTTGTGACTACCTCAGATGACAAATCCATGCGTATCTGGGAATGGGACATACCCGTGGACATGAAGTACATTGCTGATCCTACGATGCATTCCATGCCTGCAGTCACGCTGGCGCCCAATGGGAAATGGATGGCCTGTCAATCGTTGGATAACAAAATCGTGATATTCTCCGCCTTGAATCGCTTCAAAATGAATCGCAAGAAGACCTTCACAGGGCACATGGTCTCTGGCTATGCCTGTCAGCTAGACTTTTCGCCGGACATGAGCTACTTGGTGTCGGGCGATGGCGATGGCAAGTGTTATATATGGGACTGGAAGACGACGAAAATGTACAAGAAATGGCAGGCGCACGATGGCGTCTGCATCAGTGCACTGTGGCATCCGCATGAGGCCAGCAAACTAGTTACTGCCGGCTGGGATGGTCAGCTTAAATATTGGGATTAAAATACACAACTAGCTAGTTAAGTTTTAAGCTCAAATGTAGCATATTAATTGACTAAATGAGAAGACCACAAAGTTTACCTCTAAAAAATTTGGCTTTGTTTACATTTTGCGGGCAGCTGATAAGAGAGCGCATGCGCAGTGCCTGCCAAACTGTACAATATGGCGCTGGCGCCTGCAAACAAAATTCATAGCCCACCCCCAGGGCGCAAAACATATGCGATTGCCAGCAAAAATCAATACTTTTTCACAACAGCAAGCAAGCAGCGCAGAAATTGTTTTCCCAAACAAGAAACAATTGCAAAAAAATAAATTATATCCGATGCAACAAGGCGCTGGTTGAACTTTATAAAGAGAAATAGTTGCAGTTTTGGCGCCATTGAAAAAATGCACAAATTGTGAATTTAAGGATTAAGTAAGCGAACCAGCAGAGACAACACTTCCACTTAACAGTTCCACAGCGCTGCTGCCATGGCCAAGCCGCCCGCAGATACCTCCGGCTTGGGCTATGCCTATCATCTACCATCCGGTGGCCTTCTGCTACGCCTCAAGAACTCCCTGTCCCAGTTCAGTGACCTATTCAGCGAGTTCAACAAATACATTTCACCTGCCTTCTTTCACGATCGCTGCGAGCGATCCGTCCATATGCGCATGTATTCCATGCACAAGCGTGAATTTGTTATGGTCTTTCTCGGCTTCTTCACCTGCTTCGGCCTAGGCATTATAATTGGTCTGACTGGTCCGCCAATAACAACCACAGACGCGGTGACAGCACAGCAGATCCTGGCCAATACAACGCTGGCGCATAGCAAAACGGTGCTGGCCACGGGCCCCTTTGCCATGAAGTCCCCGCTGATGACGACCTACTCCCAACAGATGTGGCTCATAGCCAAGCTGGTCACCGATAACAATGATGGTGAGTGTTGAACCTGTGCCCCATCTAAAGTTAGGCGACATTCAATCTATGCTCCTGTTTAGATGAGCGCTATGACAAGAGTTTCCAGATCAGCGTCTCCATCGATGGCATCAACGAGCAGCACAAGCCACTGAGTGTCCTGGGCCGCAGCGCGGCCCATAATCGCACAAGGCATTTGCTGTGTGTGCGCAACGACTGCGAGGAGTTCACGGTCATGCATTTGGGCTTTCTGGACTATGCCCACTATATCATCACAGTACGTTTCCTGGGGCTAGAGTCGTTCCATCAGAAGTACAACATCAGGGCCATTACGTTCTATGTGAGTAGCAGCTACCTATATATATGTATGTATACCTTTCAAGTAGAGGTAGGCTCGTGTCCAATTTGTCTAGCACGAACACGAACACGAACTACAAGTAGGAAACACGCACAGCCTTGTTTTAACAATAATTATTACTTCAGTAAAACCTATTTTTGCTCTTCTGCGTGTTCTTTTTAATTATAATATATATTTTTATGGCATTCTTTGCATACAATGTCGTGCTCAACACAGACAATCACGAATACTTCGTGCTGAGTCGTGTGCGCTCGTGTCACGACAAACAATCGCGATACACGCCCTGCTCTACTTTCAAGTTAAACCCACTAACTGATTTCTTTTAGTTCAAGACATATAGCCCGGAGTTTACACAGATTGAGATCTGGTTCAGATTCATCTTTCTGCTCTTCACGTTCATCGTCATAGTAAGTAAAAGGACATATGTACATATAAACTCTGTTATTATAGATTCTCATTACTTTCTCTTCAATCAGTGCTGGTATGCGCACACGCTGCGCAAGTATCCCGTCTACGACTGGTCCATTGAGCAGAAATGGATATCCGTTCTGCTGCCGCTGCTGCTGCTCTACGATAGTGGGTATTACCACAATCCATCATTTATGAGATACTTTCAATTCTGCAATTTTCATAGATCCATTCTTTCCGCTGATATTTCTGATGAACTCCTGGATGCCGGGCATGCTGGATGCCGTTCTGCAGGCCACATTCCTGTGTGCCCTGCTCATGTTCTGGCTGTGTATCTACCACGGTCTGCGGCAGAATGAACGACGCTTTGTTAGCTTCTATATGATCAAGATTATCGTGGTGCTGCCCATTTGGCTGTGCGCCATTGTCCTGGCCACATGGGAGAAATGCAACGAGCTGCGAGATCCCACATACAGCCATTTTGTGGACACCAAGAACTACAATGTGAGTGGAGCCGACTAACAATTAGAGCCCCAGATTAATCTTCTATTTCGCAGGGCCTCAAGATGTTCTTCTACATTGCCTGCTGCATGTATGTGGTTTATCTGGGGCTGCTCCTGCTGCGCGCCTACACTGAACTGCGTTCCATGCCCTACTTTGGTAAGCTCCTAGCTTTTCTGGTCATAATGGATTTTGAAATAAACAATTTTCCTGCTCTTTCAGACATACGCTTAAAGTTTCTCACGCTGCTGATGCTCTTTGTGCTGTCTATTTCCATAACGGTCACCACTTGCCGATTTGGTTTCGGCATACTGGAGGATAACTTTGTGGCCACACTGAACACCACCTACCGCAGCTCGGCTCAGTTTATGTGCTTTTACGGGCTGTTAAATTTCTATTTGTACACAATGGCGTATGTGTATTCGCCGGATGGACGCTTTGCCCAGGCCGAATTGGCCGTTACCAAAGATAATCCGGCCATTTCCATGATTGACGATTCTGATGAGGATGTCGTCTACGGTTCCGACGAGGAGTCAAGGCGTCCACTTACCTCCATGGGTGGTGCAGGCAAAAATGACTACGACAGCGATTAACACCGACCGATTAATTGGGCGTATCATATTATAAACGTTAATGTTCCATAGTATGCGATCGGAACAGCGCTACATTACTGTACAAATTACTTATTCTACAGGTATAGCATTCAGCCAAGCGTTTTCAATTCCCCTATCTAAATTTCAAGTAAAATTAATTGATAATTACCTATTTGTTGTATGTAATATATGTATAAACAGAACTTCGGTTCGTGCGGCGGTTGTACACGGTTATCTTTGCTATCCTTGTAGAAATTGAGATTTGCTATATATTTTTAAAAACAAACAGCTGTTGTTCCTATTGCAAATTTATGATATAGTGGTCCGATGTTGTGAAGATATATTTTAAACCAAAGGAGCATAGTAAAGCTCAAATTTTGAGAGTTTGGTTTTTGCATTTAACATTTTTGTTTGCGATTATTAATTATTAGCATAGTGGAGCTCCTAACCTGATAAATATGCCAGGTAAAACATCTTCATTCAAAACCTGTGTTTGAGCAGCGACGTAATATTGTGTTCCGTTTCGACTAATACAGACATTCATCTGACATATAAAAGAGACTGTATCGATTGGCTGTTAAAACTGCGATACACACTTTGTGATGTGAAAATTAATATACTTTCTAATGGCTTTGCGCGCCGTATATCCGTCCCTTGTATTAGTATATTCTAAATTTGCAACTGAAAGACGAGCTATATTTGTCCCATTTTCAATCTAAAGGCATTTCGAATTGAGTTAATTATTTTAAATTATAAAACAGGCAGAATGTTGTAAGCGAAAAGATTACCGTTATTTTACTAGATTGTTTATTACATAATTAACACATTTCGCCAATGGAACTCCATGCTCATCAGTGGCCGCCTAGAAGACCTCGTTGATGCCCATTTTGCTCTTGGTCAACAAGCCACTGTCACCCACATCCGCATTGTAGCCGGGACGGTACTTCATGCCAGGCGCCTAGCAAAAGTAAAACATACAGTTATTAGATTGAATCCTCAAGGAGCGAAGTCAACAATTGGACTCACATTGAACCAGACATCACGCCAGACTTTGCTGTCGTCGGCGCTGCGCAACAGCTCGGGGACATCGAAACGTGGCACATTAAAGTAGTTCATCAGATCGGGCTTTTCGTTGCAGTACTTGATGCGTGCCTCGCACCACTCGCTCTCGAGCGGGAAGCGCCAGTCCAGCATCTTCTTGTTGTGCGGATCCGACTCGTGCTGCAGAAAATCAATACGTTCGATATCTTCGACTACAACCTCGGTTTCGCCACCGGCTGACCAATCGTAGATTAGCAGCTCCGCATGTCCAGCGATATCTTTAAGATACTGCTGCTTGTACAGAGCCTCTAGATCGCGCAAATACGCCTCGGTAAACACTTTGGACTTCACCTCATGTTCTAAATTGCGGGCCTTGATTTGCTTTTGAACAGCATCCACGGGCAAATCGAGGTAGATGACCAAATGCGGCTTGAGCAGCTCGCCGATGGTATTCTGGCGTAGATCGTTGTAGACGGAACGTGCACCGCGCGATACATACCCCTGGCGGAACATAGCCTCCATGAAGACAAAGTCGGAGTAGGGACTGCGCTCTAGTACTACGCCCTGGCCGGTAGAAAAGATGTGCTGCAGTGCATCGATGTACTGCGAAACGCGCAGCATGTACATACGTATCTGGAACAGCGCGGCCAGATCATGAGTGGGATCCCTGCAAAAATCCTTAACGTCATAACTGCGGCAGCTGGGCGGCAACTGTGGATCCAGTTTACGCATATCGTAGCCATAGGGATTAATATAGATCAGATCTAGGTCGACAGCCGGAAAGTATTGCATATCCAGTTCCGTTGCAAGCTCCTGGGCGAACTTAGTTTTGCCCGACGCTATTGGACCCTCGACGCAGATAACTTTTGAGTTCTCGTCGAAGCGCTTAGAGGTCTTGTCGAAGAAGGCGCTTATGACGTTGTACTTCTTCGTCTTATATGGGTACGGCGCCACTTTAGGACACCGTGGACCACCCCGCATCGTTCTGCCGGAGATATTGCACTTCTGCATGAAGGCGGCGGGCAATGCATTCGTCTGGGCCTGCAGCAGTGCACCAGGCGCGGTTGCGCCACGGCTAACCAGCCGTACGAGGCCTACACGAAACACGGCAGTCATGCTGTAATAGTAAAAAGCCCGAAATCAAGTTCCAATCTAAACAGTCTTAATTGTAAATTTGTTGGCATTTTGTGGTATCCGTTGTTACATCACACGAGCTTTAACATACACAGCTGCAATTTGCATTTGCAACTGCCGATTAACATGATTTTTGCATTGCATTAGTATAAAAGAAGTCGCAATTCAGATACAGCTGCAGAAAATCATAATTTTTAGCAAATTCGCGTATTATCTACTCACTTTAAAAGCAAAAATCTAAAATCTATCCAATAACAATATCGGCCTATGCGGTTGGTGTTGATAAACGACAAACTTTATGGAGTCGTTTAACACTTGTACTGTGCTAACAGGGCTACTAAGTTTTCTGTTGAATAAAAATTTGCATTAAAAATGTAATGTGTTTTTGATAGGACAACCCCTTGTGTTTGTTGTCAACTAAAACTAAAATTTATTCAATTCAATTTAAACACCCTGGTCGCCCAGCAAGTTCAGCTGAATATTTTTTATTTTTCAGATGCTGTGACAGCCCTGTCGTAACCTCGCTGCATTTCAAGATTTCTGTTCGCAACTGAGGCTCACAATGAGTTCAAAAAACATCAATTAAAATTGCACGCAAATTCGTACTTTATCAACGCAACATTTTGTAACGCATCTGAATCAAAAATACATGTAAGTTACAATTTTTCTAGTGCCTTGTGTTGCCCACAAATGCAATTGGGCACAGTTACGCAACTGAGAACTAAAAATTTTACTCGTGACACAGTTTTTATCCTTATTCTAGAAATAATTATTTGAAAAAAAAAATGGGCAATTCAGCGCTATCCAGAGTCCAAATGGAGGCTGCCAAAAACTTGCCGGCTGGTGGGTCGCCGCCACCGGAATGTCCAATGCACCAGAAGAATGGCGCCAATCAATCGGCCTCAGCTGTGCCACCACATCCCAAAATACACGCCTCCGAATGTCCCGTTCAGCATGACAACAGTGATGTCAATCCGTTGAACATGATGCCGCCAGCCAACCAAAAGCCGTCACCAGATCAACCCTTTCCACTGCCCACAGATCGCCAGACATCGACCATACCAAAGGCGACCGATGACGGCACCGTACAATTCTGGCAATATCCAAGCCAGCAAATGTTCTGGAATGCTATGCTGCGCAAGGGCTGGCGTTGGAAGAAAGAGGATGTCTCCCAGAAAGATATGGGCGATATAATACGTATACACAACGCCAACAATGAGCAGGCCTGGCAGGAGGTGCTTAAATGGGAGGCGCTACACGCAAAAGAGTGTGGCAATCCACGCCTGAAGAGCTTTGGCGGCAAGGCCAAGGATTTTAGTCCACGTGCACGCTTCCGTAGCTGGCTTGGGTAAGCATTTAGTTAGTCCAGCTGCCTATCAAATAACAACTACTGATTCCATATTTACAGGTATGAGCTGCCTTTTGATCGCCACGACTGGATTGTGGACCGCTGCGGCAAGGATGTTCGCTATGTCATTGACTACTACGATGGGGGCCTGGTTGATAAAGACTATCGCTTTGCTTTGTTGGACGTGCGCCCAGCCATGGATTCAGTTGATAATGTTTGGGATCGTATGCGCGTGGCCTACATGCGCTGGAAATACGAATTATCGGAAAAGTTCCGAGGCAACGACAACAGCAAAGTATCTGCTGGTAGCGAATAGGACATTTTCTAGAACTATACAAAATTGATCTAAGTTATTATCGAACCCCTTACAACTATGTTATACATTTTAGGCTGCACTGTATGCATTAAAATTGGGTGCTGCTATTAAACAAAGAATCTATTTATTTTAAACCTTAAAAAAAATCGTGTCGCTTTTTCAATTTAGCCGAGAACGTGAAAATTTGTTTCAATTTTACAATTGCATATTCCTAGCTATGTTATTGATAAATAAAAATGAATGAAATTAGACCTTTGTTCTGTTATTAAGAATATTGAACGGCTCAAGATATCAGCTATTTATATTTTTAGTTAAAATTTATTAATATACCATATGTATGCTTGTATTTGGCTCACGATAATAATTATGATTCGTGTTAAGTCGTGCGTGTTCTTGCCACTAAAGCAGGCACGACATGCGATCATCTCTAACGCAGTCCCCATGGAGAAAAATTCCATTCAAAGAATGTCAAACTGTCATTTAACCAGTGCTGGATAATATGCATTTGCTATTCGCAGTTTTACGTCACGTAACAAAATTCTTAACGAGTGGAGCTAGCCCTTGATCCATCGAACAGTTTTAAATGTTGGCTGCCAGAATGCGCTTCGTGCAATATTTGCGTAAGGGTGACCTCGCTAAGCGTCTTGGTCTGCTTGCCGACGATCAAAAGTCTCTGGTTGAGTTGTCCGGTGCGGAGGGTGTACCCTGCGATTTGAAGGCTTTAATTGCACAAAATCCCAATCTCGAAGAGCTTGCGCAAAAGGCTCAAAAACAGCCGAAGCTTACCTTGAACGATGACGTCACACTGCTGCCTCCACTGACCGAACCGGGCAAAATAATTTGCATTGGTCTCAACTACCAAGATCACTGTGATGAGCAGAACAAGCCGGCGCCAAAGGAGCCCATGTTTTTCAGCAAGTACAACAACACATTGGTGGGGCCAACGGATAATGTGATAGCCCACACTGCGAGTGACGTATGTGCCAAGAGCCATGTGTAATAGACACAGATTACAGCGCATTCTTTTGTTTATCAGAAAATCGACTGGGAAGTGGAACTGGTGGTCGTCATTGGCAAGGTCGCCCGTCAAGTGCCTAAGGAGAAGGCGTTCGACTATGTGTTCGGCTACAGCGTTGCTCAGGACATTTCGGCACGTGACTGGCAAAAGGAACGCAACGGTGGCCAATTCCTCCTGGGCAAATCCATGGATACCTTCTGCCCGCTGGGCCCTGCCGTGGTGCACAAGAGCTTGGTCAAGAATGTGTACGATTTGCCGCTGAAAACGTGGATCAATGGTGTGGAGAAGCAAAACGGCAATACGGGCAATATGATCTACAAAATCGATGATGTCATTAATAGACTAACCCAGTGAGTAGTAAAGAAGCAATGATCAGTCTTTAGTGCAATTAATGGTTAATCGTGACTTTGATATAATCAGATCCATTACGCTGCTGCCTGGCGACATAATTTTGACTGGCACACCAAAAGGCGTGGGAATGCACCGCAGCCCACCAGAGTATCTGAAAGCAGGAGATGTCATCAAGACAGAGATTGTTGGTCTGGGTACGATGACCAACCAAGTGGTTGCCCCTTGCACATCAAACTAATTGTTACAAATAATAATTAAACAAAATAATCGCTGTGCATGTTATTAAATTTTTATGAATTACACTTTGAATGTTTTCGATTTGGTCGCAAAGTATTCATCGCGTTTGTGATAGGGAGCATACGGATCATCGATATAATGTTTGGGCCGACGCCAGTAGCTAGTTACCATTTTGTCCAAAAGCCAGCTCTGTGTGGCATTTGTAAATACATGTTGTCGCAGACGACGGCGCAGCTCAGCTGACTTTTTGAACAACTTCTTTTGACGGCCAGAGTGTGTTCTGATCCATGCACCCCAGTCGAGGCGTTTAAAACGCTTCAGCACCGCCTTCACAGACTTGCGTTTGCCCTTGATGAGCGAGAATTTGGTGACGCTGCGAGCAGGCAATGCGGCAAGCACAGGCGCCTGTAACAGCGTCGGTGTTGACGTTAGGCTGCTGGCGGGAAGTAGATTTGTCTTGCGCTGGGCTGGAGCGGACGCAGCGATCAAATGTCCAAAGCATGCACGTTGGGTTTGCTGCAGTGCGTACGCCGGCTGGACACGGCAGACACTGCGTAGTGCTGTTAACCAAATAATTTGACTTAAAAATAATTTATATTCATTCATATAAGTATGCATCTTACCGCCAGTGACTAGTGTACGCAGCATTTTACGTTTTTTAATTGATCTAAATAATGTCCAAAATATTTGGTACACAGTCGCGTAACAGCCTTTGCCTAGTCAGCTGTTTGACAGTAACAAATGCCATTCACAGTGGCAAGCGACGGTGTGCGCACATTTTAAAACAAAGTTTTTTACACTTCATATACATTCAATTTTTAAATGTAGTTGTAAATAGTATAAAATTGAGTCAAATTAAAGTTAGAAATTTATGTTGATTTAATACTTTATACACGCTTCAATTGCGACCCATTACTCGAATGCACGAATGGAAAAAGCTGGCAGCTATCGGTTGCCATTCTTGTGTAAACGTGCACATAACGTCGACGGTCAGCGAGTCAGCCAGTATTTGTCGTTGGAGAGAATTTGGGCAGGAAAATTATTCTCGCCGCCGGTTAGAGTCTGCAGCAGGCACTGTCAAATTAAATTAACAAAATTCTGTGGCATCATGTATCGGCTAGCAGTTATTGAGTGCAAGAGTGCGATGCAGGTAATATGTGTGACAGAACAACGTGAAAATCAATCGAGTCGGTGACGTTGCCACCGCCCGATCGCCCCCCTCGCGCCCACAAACCAAGCCAATTGCAAAAATATACAAGAGTGCTTGTGTGTTATGTCATCTACGAATTGCAAAAAATGTCCAAAATTCCAGCAGTGCAACACTGCTTGACAATTGGAGTGTGCCCTCGTTGCCAACCAGAACTGTTCGATTGTATCTTTCTAGCGCACTCTGCCTCCAACAAGCAGCAGACAATACAGCAGCAATAACAACAGAAGCAACGGCGGTAATGGACAACAGCAGCAAGAACAACAACAACAACGGCAAAAAGGCAGCCTGCCCCCGCCGCCTAATGCACGCGAAGCTGGCTTTGGCAAAGTGATGCTCCTATTGACACCACTGGCTGCAGTCGGCGGCGTAATCACCTATTCCAAGTGAGTACCTTTCCACGTTCTGTAGTTTGTTTTGGCTAATAAAAGCGTAATATTGCAGATACGACAAAGATTTCCGTAATATGGTTGAGAAGAATGTGCCTGGCGCTGAATCAGTCATCAAAGTTGTGCTGCAGGAGGAGGCACCGTTCCAGGGCATAACCAAAAATGTCAACGAACAACTCGACAAAGTGAAGTCGACCTTTAATAGCGTATCCGACTCGGTAAGCTCCGCTTCTAATAAGGTAACGAGTTTCTTTGGCGGCAAGAGCGTTCCGGAAGTAAAACCTGCATCCATCAAACCAAGCGTGCCCACGGTACAAAAAACAGAAGTGGCGAAAGCTAAAGAAACTGCCCCAGTCAAAAGTGAACCAAAAACTGCCGCCAAGTCGGAGCCAGCACCACCAGAAGCAAAACCCGCTCCGCCAAAGGCGCAACCGTTGCCTCAGGAAGTCTTGGAACTGGAGAAGTCCATTGAGCTGTCGGCGCAGCTGGCGATCCAGGAATATAATGCTGCCATTGGAATTTTAAAGAGGTGTGCATTGTATATCTACTCGCTTTTCTCGAGATGTTTATAGATCTTTTACGCAGTTTCAATGAGGATGTCCGACGTGTGGTCGACAAGGCGGTTGAGCATGGTGAGAACTCGCTCTGGGCGACACTGAAGAACCGAGCAAGTGCAAGAGATACGGCTGTATCGAAAGCTGAGCGTGCGGCTCGTGAAGCTCAGGAAAAGATTGGTGAGTGCTCTTTAGAATGTAAAAGCATTGAATAATACTGAACGCATTTTTCCTTATAGAGCGCTGTGAAATTGCTTTGAGCAAAGCGGCCACATCAAAGAACCATGAAAAGGTAGAGAATGTGCGTGACAAGATTAAAAAGCTTGTGTCGCACATTAGTAAAGTCAAGGACGAGCTGTATAGACACAAGGATACGGCGAGTGTATCGGACAAATATTGGCGCAGTGTTGAGCAGGCACGCAACTATTTTATTGACGAAATCGAGTCCATTTTCCCTGGCATTAATCTGTCTGAAAAAAAGTTGAACTTATCGAAAGAGGACTTGGATTTGTTTATACTGCATGCCTACTCACATGTGGTGGCCTACCAAAAGGAGTTGCAGCGCCTGCAAACCGACGGCGAGTTGCGTCTCAAGCGTGCCATTGATTCCTTGCGAGGCGATAATAGCTCCGAGGCGTTGCGTGCCCAACTTGAGTTTCATCTGGAGGCGGAGAAGCGCAAGCTCTCGGTGGAAAATCAGAAAAAGATATTCCAAATCCATGCCGATGCAGACAAGCAGTTGCGCTTGCAGCTCAAAAAACAGGCCGAAGCTCACACGGATCACATCAAGGATATTGTGGCACAGCGAGAAACGGATATGACGCGCGCTTTTCAGCGCGAGCTGGAAGAAAAACTGGCTGCCGAAAAAGCCAACTACAAACTCCAGCTGGCTGCTATGCTTGGCAAGCTGCGCGGAATGGATGCTGCATTAGCAGGTACGTAAATTATTACAATGCATAATTGTATAAAGATTCTGTACATAACTAAGCTGGAAAACGATTGTGTGTCGAGTTTTATCACTGGATAGCTGTGCTAAATAGGTGTTAGGGCTTTAACAGGTTCACAATTCCCTAACCCACATTCGGGCTTACATAACATTGCGGGCTACTTCACTTTTCCTACTCCCGCTCTGCTTCTCATTCCCTCAATAATGAAAAACTCAACATAAATCGCGTAAAGAGGCAGTATATAAGATAATGGCCAGTAAGTCCGACGGATTCGAATTTAGTCTGTATAACACATACTTTATGGAGTTGGATGTCTTCTGCTTGTTATATTTTGAATACGTACAGAGTATAGGAGGTGAATCGTTCTGTGTTCACAATCCCGTTAATATTTTATTAACACGTTTTCTGTATACCTTAAACAGCAATGTGCATCATATATTTTCTCACCTATTTTTTATATCGCATTCGTTAACATTTGACTTATTTACAACAATCACCCGTAAGTTTGACAAAGTCCAAAGTTTGCACTATGAGGTGCTCTCCACTCAAGTTAAAAATACTTGTGACTCTTCTGCACTTGTATCGAATCGAATTGTGCTTATACATTAAATCAGCTATATAACAAATAACTTATGCGTATATAAGAGTAGTTTTAGCATTAAGAATGAATTGGATAGAGGACCGATTGTTTTTCAGCTTAAAATTCTAATGGCTAGCATTTTAATATTATAAACACACTAAATTGCTCTCATATGCTGCTTGTTTAGAAATAGAGGACAAGTTTACAGGTATTCCCCGTGCTTATAATCATCTTTAAATAGTAATCAAGCTTTTACTAAAGTGTTTTTTTTCCCATCCCTGTAGAACGCGCTGAAACTGAGCGCTCTGCCAACCAGGCGCAAGCCTTATGGGCTGCCTGTCAAGCGCTTTGGGCTTCAGTGCGCACTGCCACGCCCGGTGTGCATTATAAGGATAAATTGCGACCCCTGAAGAACGAGATCAGTGCTATTGCTAAGGTGGCTGGTGAGTGGAGACATACATAAGGAGGACAACTTTGTCGTAATATGTGTAACTGTTTTCAGAGGGTGACGAACTGGTGATTGCCGTTTTGGAAAACATGCCAAAGGAGGCTCAGGAGCGCGGAGTGTTTCCCGAGGATGCGCTGCGTGAACGCTTCCTAAACGTTGAGCGAATTGCTCGCCGATTGGCGATGGTACCCGAAAATGGAGGGAGCCTGCCCATTTATTTCCTATCTTTTCTGCAATCGCTTTTTATTTTGCGGCCAGATAATCCCGTTTCAAGGGATGAGCTGGAGAACAAACCCTTTGACTATAGCAAATTGGACACGTATGATATATTGAATAGAGCCAGGTATGTTTACGAAATTGATTTATAAAAGAATTATTAAGACTATGGCTTGTCTTTGTAGGTACCATGTCGATCGTGGAGACTTCCTACAGGCGCTTAAATACTTGAACCTACTAGAGGGTGCACCACGTGAAGTTGCCAGCGACTGGATGAAGGAGACTCGCCTCATGCTAGAGACACAGCAAGCGGCAAATACTTTGATGGCGCACGCCGCAGCCAGTGGTTTGATGTACTTGTAAATTATGTTCCCTATCACGTCGCCCATTTAGTTATCAATTTGTTTTAATTTTACTCTAAAAAGTCGATCAAGAAAATCACTACTTAAAAAACATTGATTGTGAAATTTTGTTTTAGAAGCAATTATACAAATTATAAATATAGAGGCCTATAATGGGCAATGAAACAATTTAGGATGGAATTTAAGCATAAGGGTTAACGACTTTATTTCTCATTTTACCCAATTTTTGTATTTCGCTCTCGACAAGATCACCAGGCTTAAGAAAACTTGACGGATTACGGTATGCACCAGAACCAGCTGGGGTTCCGGTCAAAATAATGTCACCAGGGCAAAGGGTCATGAATCTATTGTAGATTGGTGAATTAAATTGTAAAATGAAAATGTATCTATCCACTTACTGAGAGAGTCGATGAATGAGATAGTCAATTTTAAAAATCATATCCTTCGTGTTGCCGCATTGTCGCTGCTCACCGTTAACAATCGTCTTGATCCACAGATTATTTACATCCGGCACGTGACACTTATGTACGATAACCGGTCCCAGTGGGCAGAAGGTGTCCAACGATTTACCTAACATTGTTTGGCCACCATGTAATACATTCCAATCTCGTGCGTTAATATCCTGGGCAATCATATAACCAAAAACACAGCTCATAGCCGCGTTGCGAGAGACGTGGCGGCATTTTTTGCCAATAACCACGGCTAACTCGCAGCCATAATCAATGCGCTGCAAATATGATGTGCGAAATTAGCTTGAATAGCATATAACATGATTTCCACTTGCCTTGGCTATTTGATGGGCACGAATATTGTCTAGCGCACCGGTGATGGACGTACCAAATTTAACAAAAAATTCTGGCGTTTTTGGTATACTTTCATGCCGCTCGTTGCAGCCATCGTAGTAGTTACAGCCAACGCCAATTATTTTGCCCGGTGAATCTATAGGGGGTAACAGCTTCAGATCCTGTTTTACATCGTCCACCTCCATGAACTGTGCGCTGCTAATTAGACTTTTCATGCAGTATCTCTGCTGTATAAAATTGACCATGTCGGGCGAGGCACAGGTTTTGGAGGATAATTCAATCATTTTAGAACCGTTCTCAGACACCATGCCAAGACGTTTGTTGGTATCGCCAGAACGTATGTACTGCATAAAGCGGCATTTCGGAATTTGGTATTCGCTATGGCAGGATGAAATAATTGGCTCTAACGGACTATGTTTCATTTGTTCCCATCCAATTTTTTCTAGTGGAGATGCTTTCGCATGCATGCGTGCAAATCCAAAGCTGTTACGCAGCAAAGACACTGCAGCTCTCATAATTTGGGTTCATGTATTTGTTTATTGTATACAATGCAGTAATTTTGAAGTTGAGCAAACTCTGCAATCCGAAAAATTCCGAATGTAACGCTTTCACTGTGCACAGTTCCCAAAATAACTAATATTAAACCATTTTATGTTTTGAAGTTTAACTCTTGTCTTTTGACTCCGTTGCCATAGAATGATTTTATTTACTCACTCATGTTTTCGGTTTAGTGTCAATGGACAAAACAGGACAGGCCGATCAGCGGAGTGGGTTGAGCTACGACCAAAAAAGGGAATATCCATAAAACATATCAGTGTTGGAAACGCCATCATAATTTTCATAATATTATGTAATGGTCACATGAGCTTCTATCCTGCAGTTCTTAAATATGCGTTTTATTTTTGGCGCTACTTATCGATATACCGATTGAGACAAATTAAAGTATCAAGTCAAAAACGATAATCAATTATCGGAATTGATAACATGTGATTTTCGATATCTTAGCAACAACCCTAGTCAGCTGTTGTGTAGGTTTCCGATTATAATTTCGCAAAGCAAAATTAAAAGTTTTAACATTTTTATATTAAGGTCTATTTGATTATCTTTAATAAGCACAATTGTCTAAAGAACGAGCAAGATGTCGATGCTGGCTAGAAACCTGGGACGCACCTTTTTACAGGTAAACCTCATACAGAGGTTGCCAAGTGCTTACATAAACACTTGCCAAGTTCTCTGCAGCAGCCGCTTGTGGCCAAGACCAGCACAGATGCCAATTTTTTTTGAGGTTAACATCCTCGCAGGCGAATACTAATTACTAATCATTATATTTTTTACATATATATAGGCGGCAGCAGTGCGCAGACTGCATGTCTCGGCGGCGCGCAACGCTGATGTATGTACATATTTTGAATGTTAAAAATTATAAATATTCTAAAGATTGCGATTTTTGCAGGATGCCACATATAACGCAAATAGAACCACTTGCACCTTGATACCCGGCGATGGTGTCGGTCCCGAGTTGGTCTACTCGCTGCAGGAGGTCTTTAAGGTGAGGTTTGATTACCAAATACTCGTTTTGCAGTTTTAAATAACGTTTATCACGTTTAGGCAGCAAATGTGCCCGTTGACTTTGAAACGTTCTTTCTGTCGGAAATCAACCCCGGACTAAGCGCCAAGCTTGAAGATGTTGTGGCCTCCATACGAAAGAATAAAGTTTGCATTAAGGTAAGCTGTTATCAGTCGCAAAGGTGCTCTTAGCGTTATAGACACAGACGTAACGGGTGTATTTTAATCTGATCTTAATCCAATCTCATAATTTTTACAGGGCATTTTGGCCACACCCGATTACAGCAATGAGGGTGAACTGCAGACGCTAAACATGAAACTCCGCACAGAACTGGACTTGTATGCAAATGTGGTGCATGTTCGTAGTTTACCTGGTGTTAAGACGCGCCACACCAACATCGATACGGTCATCATTCGTGAACAGACCGAAGGTGAATATTCAGCTTTGGAGCACGAATCGGTGCCCGGCATTGTAGAGTGCTTGAAGATCGTGACTGCCAAGAAGTCGATGCGCATTGCTAAGTTCGCCTTTGATTATGCCACCAAAAATAACCGCAAGAAGGTTACTGCGGTGCACAAGGCCAACATCATGAAACTGGGTGATGGTCTGTTCCTGAAGTCATGTGAGGAAATCTCAAAACTTTATCCCCGCATCGAGCTTGACAAAATGATTGTGGATAATACGACTATGCAAATGGTGTCCAATCCCAATCAATTTGATGTGATGGTGACCCCAAATCTGTACGGTGCCATTGTCGATAACTTGGCCTCTGGCTTGGTCGGCGGCGCTGGCGTTGTTGCTGGTGCTTCATACTCAGCGGATGCGGTCGTATTTGAACCGGTAAGCAAACATTTGACTCCTGAGATGTAATCAGAATCTCATGTTTATCATTGCATTTACAGGGCGCACGTCATACCTTTGCCCAGGCTGTGGGCAAGAATCTAGCAAATCCTACGGCCATGTTAATGTGCGGCACAAAAATGCTGCGCCACATCAATTTGCCAACTTATAGCGAAGTTATTCAAAATGCCATTAACCAGGTGCTCAAGGACGGCAAGGTGCGCACCAAAGATTTAGGTGGACAATCCACCACGCAGGACTTTACGCGTGCCGTTATTGCCAACCTGCACTAGACAGGATTCAAAAATTCAGCGACAACAATAGTTGGCCCCAAGGATCACGCATGCTTAGACAAGAAACAGTTGTGTTGCCTAAATTATTGTTTCACATTTTTAGTTGTCTTTCATTCATTCAGTATGATTTCCTTTCATAATTCAATGCATTCTTTGAGTATTATTTCTGGCGAATATTTATGTTTAGTGCAATTACCTCGCCTCCCTCCGCTTCCCTAAAAATTTTAGTTATACAAATTGGCCGTATTGTTTATTATTTTGTGATTATGTATTATTTTGTGCAAAATCCAAATGGGATTCGAATTTTGCCATCAACATTAAATTTATGACAAGCAAAAAGAAAACAAAAATTAAAATCAAATAAGTTAAACCAACTCAAGTGTAGCGAGAACCACGATGGAAAAAATAAAAGTAAAAATAAATAAAATTTTGAAAGCGATGCCAAATGTGCAACTCTTTGAGCTGGACAAATGTAAAAATGATTGTAACGTTTTCCCTTTTTTACAAAATCAAGACTCTAATCCTGCATTCAATGGAAAGAAACCACTTAGAAACTATTCCACATTTTATTTCACAATCTATATATAAGAAAAACCGAAAAGTTAACACCAAAATATTTAGAAAATGTAAAATGTCTAGAGTTACGATCCCTTGGGCTTGGCCAATTCTATAAGCCGCGGCGAAGCTTTGGCCTTGAGCGCCGCGGGCGAGATAGCAAAAGGATTCTCTCGTATGTGAGTGTTTTCGAACTCCTTCGGCTCGGCCAGCTCCTTCATGCGCGATGATATCTTGTATTTTAGAGCGTTTGGTGATATAGCGAATGGATCGTCTTTGAGGTCGGCAGGCCCCAAATTGGCGTCGTGCTTTGCCAGCGGCTGTGACATCTCCATGATACGTTCGCTCGCTATGGATAGGTGTCGGAAATAGGGTACTTAATACAAGTACATAAGTTAACTTACGTTTGTACTTGAGAGCATTGGGGGAAACTTTCTCTGGATTTTCATTAGTGTGCACATTTGGTCGATCCACAGGCTCGGCCAATTTCTTAACACGATCCGTCGGTTTGTAGCTGCGCATGCTGGGCGTGATCTCCCACTCCGGCTTAACGTCCTCCAGGTATACTTTTGGACGCGATAGTTTCTTAAGGCGACGCTGATCCACCTCTCCCGCTTTACGTTCCTGTATAACAAAAGCAATTAAATTAAGGAAATTGATTAATTTGTGCTCTTAGCTAATTTACCGGCGCTGGTTCCTTGTGCGGAATCTTCGGCTTGGCTAGTTTTTTTATATACATCTCGCGCATCTTTATTTGTTTAGCAGTTAGCTTTTTCTTTATCACCCTGCGTAGATTTTTTTTTTAAATATTAATATAAGCGTTAAGCAATTTCGACTTAAAACTTACGGTTTCTTCAACGGCTGCAAATTGCCCAGACGACTGTACAGTGACATATAACTATAACGTAACCAGCGATTTAGTATACCCTCGCCAATTTTGTCACCAATATTTATGGCTTCAATACGACGATGAAGCAGTCGTCTAACCGTTGGCAAGGCTAGTTGTTCGGTGCGAGTGTGAAGAGGAAAATCGGCTGGAACGATCTGAATTGTCTTTTTAAATGGACATGAACATCTGGGAAGAAAACGGCACTGGGGATTTCTGGGTATAGCTAGTTCCATGATACGTTGGCGTTTGGTAAAATGTTTTTGGTGCCGTTCGTAAAGCTTATTTAGTTCCTTCCCAATATCCCTAAGAAAACATTCAGCGTCGCTTGGTATACGCTCTAGAATTGGACAGCAATCGGGGCGGACACTGTCGGCTAGTTTGAGACAGGTCGTTAGCTCTGGACTTAGATCACATTTTAATCGTTTCAAAGCCATTTTTTTTATATATTTTTTTTTTTTTAATTTTGTACTATTAATTAGTATTTATTTTTCACCACAGAAAATTTACTGCCATCTGCTTGAGAAAACAATGTGAAATTAAATTGTTTAGCTACCTACAAGGCCTACTAACTAAATAATCTATCCCTTCCCAAGAATTTGTATTTGATTTTAAAAACATTGAATATTCGACGATTTGAACGAAATAAAAGGCTGTGTTTTAATTTATGTTTTATTAAATGTTTATTGCCAGTATTCATCAAAATACTGAGAGCTCCATGTTCACATCATTACAAGTTAATAGTTGTGTTATTTTCTCATTTGTAAGTATGTATGTCTTTAGTAGATTTTGCCATTATGCCTCCGTATTTCACATTCATATACACAAATCGAATTGTTATTTCTTGGCAATTTCAATTTTATACAATGATCTTGACGCATAATTGAATTGGAAATATTGATCTTGGCATTGAATTCGTAGTGAGAACAAAATTACTTTTGTAAATGAATATCCACGATGATAATAATAATTTCTTGTTTTTATTATGCGTACATAGAATTTTAGCAGACATACACAAATATATATACTATAAATTTGAATTTATCATTTACTAAGTTGACATAAATTTTGCTAACTTAATTGTTTAAATTTGTGTGACTTTCTTTTGAATTATGTTTGCCTGCTGTAGAAAACCCACCTAGCTTTCGTATCTTGATATATTTTCTTATGTTTATTTACACCAAAATTACACCAAATAATAATTTTCTATTCAACTAAATTTCGTTTGGTTTGAAATTTGATGGCGCTTATGATTTTGTTTTATACACAATTCCAGCCAAATTCTAAGTACTTGAATATTCTTAACTTCAATTTTGTTTACTTGCATATCGTATACAAATTTCCTTACATTTAAAATTTCTTTTCAATATCCGAAAGTTTTAACTGACATTTATTGAACATTTTTTTGTCTTTTATATATTTATATGTATATTTATTACCAAAGGGGATTTTTTTTTGTACATACGTACAATTTTGTTTTTAATTTTTATAATTTTCATTCACACACATACATACATAATAATTTGTGATATATTCAAAATGCTTCCCTAGAAGTTCCTTAGATTTTTCATTTCTTTTTGGTGGTCTATGCATATCGGGCTAATTTTCCGTTCAGATATGCGTCCAATTTCTGATTCAATTTTGATGTACATTTTTCAAATGATTACCAGTTGTTAAATAAATTTTTATTTGGTCCCTGAAGCTGTTGTGTTTAGATTAACGATAGCTTTATTTGTATGTGTTAGTTTTGCCTTCATAACCAGGTCTAGAACATTGCTGGTACATAAGTATCTTAACTATTTCCAAAGTGTTTAGTGGGCTAAAGGAATTCAAAAATTTAAGAAACGTTACGAAAAATGAAGTTAAACTTAAACAGTTTTTTTTTTATTACGAATTCTCAAACAAATGTCTTGTTATGTATTCTGTGCCAATCTTTGTTGTTGTTGTTGTTGTTTATTTGTTGTCTATTTGATTTTGTTAAATGTGAAAATGGAGCAAATATTGACGGTGTTAGGATATTAATTGCCTTCTCGCAACCCCATCACAGTCAATATTTACTTTGGGCTATTGTTAAGTATTTAATAAACGTACTAGATTCGTAGATTACTATTGCATTTTATAATAATACTTTTAGCATTTGTATTTGTGTAAATATATAGCATATCAGTTAAACGTGTAGCCGTTGCTCGTCTTGGGTGAATGTTTAAAAATAAAAGCCTCTGTGTGTCTAAGAAATGGAAATCAAAATGAAAATCGCAGCTGTTTAACTAAAATATTTGTTTTTATTAATAAACATTTTCAGCGTAAATATATGATATATTGTATATATATATTTTTTGCGTTTAAAACATAATAAGTAAATAATAAAAATAACGAAAATCATGAACTTAATCTTAAGTATAAGTGTATATATAACAATTATGCACGCTGAACAAATTTTCATTTAAATATAACTTATCTCAATCCTATAACTCTTTTGTTTATATATTTTTAAACAAATTATGCAATTTTTTTATTGGTACTTAATAAAATTATATCTTTTTTTTTTCAAAATTAGGAAAGATATTCCTTGGTTTTTTGTATTATTTTTGTAAAAATTAATATTCATAAATATATATATATAACATTTTTCGCTGTAAAGAACTAATCGTATAATAAAGAAAATTTGAAAACATTATTTCTATGGAATTTAGCATTCAAATAATCGGTATTTTTGTTGTTGTTGAAATTCTTTTTTGTTTGCATGCTTGGCTGGTGTTTGCTTAAGTTTTATCTTTGCTTTTGTTGTTGTTGTTGATGTCCTGGTTTTAATGCTAAATACATACATATGCTATCTGTACTTATGGGCTATTGCTAATCATAATGCATTTATATGTAGTTACGCTTATTGGCTGTGAAACAGTTTTTAACTTGTTTATGTTTTTTTTGCTGTGATTGAAAAATGCAAAAAAAAAACAGAAAGAAACAGAATTTTGCTCAGTTTGCTAAGTTGTTGTTTGCTTTAAAATGTACTTTTTTTGTTTGTTTATTATTTTGTTTTGTATTGTACTTGCATCAGTTTTGAACGCATCGAGGGCGTCGTCTTTGTTGTAGTAAAAATAATCTAAATGTATGCTGTTAAAAACGAGAAACTGTTTATCATTTTAGTGCTTCAACAAAGTCTGAGAAATGTTGCATACAAATTGTAACAAACTGTTCGCTAAGAAGAGTATTACGCCTTGCTTTAGTTGCAATCACCTGTTTTTCTATGTTTGTTTGCCTTTTGGTTTCGCCAATAACTTAGAACTATTGCTGTTGGTTTTATTTTTATTGGTTAATATGATTAATATTTTTTACTAGGGCTATTGTTTTTTTTTGTTTTTTTGTTTTTATCTGTTTACTGTATCTGTATCTATAAAGAGTGATGGTTGAGTGGATAATTGAAATAAAAATTGTTTCATTTTCTTATGACAAACGTTTCGAGCGTTTTTGCGAATGCCTTGCATATTCTTGTGCAATGCTGCGTATACGCAATGCAAAATGTTGCGCATACGCCATGTGAAAACTGCTCTGCGCTCTCCTCGATCATGTTCTGCTTCTTTTTTCTCTTGCTGTCTTAATTGTCTTGTCTATTGTATGCTTGGCTATGATCGTTAATTATGTGGGTATTGTATTGGTTATTGCTATGAATTGAAATTGAATTGAAAATTAGTTGTTTTGAGTTTGTTTCTTTGTTTTTCATTCGGGTTTGTTAATTCTGTGTGTCGTGTGTGTTTGTTTACTTGTTTGTTTTAATGTTAATTGTTTGTGGCTATGGCTATTTCTATTACTGTTGCTATTTTAGTTTGTAGTAAGAGTAGTACTATTGTTTAATTAAATTGTTTGGTAATTGCTTGAAGAAAAAAGAAAAGTACAATCGACGTCAGGCTTTGTGTTTTGTTGTCTCATTCATATGATTACATACATAGTAGTTATATATGTACTGGTATACAATATTTAGATATTGTATATTGTTATTTCAATTTTTAGTTCAATTATTTTGGGCTATTGTTGTTGGTTACCAATGGTGTTGTTGTGGTTGGCTTTTCTGGGCAGATTTGGGCTATTGTTTCTTGCTGTCTGGTTGTATTCTTTGCATTTTTATTGAAGATCGCTTAACGCTCAAGTAAAACGTAAAAGGATCGTGTTCTGAATTAGTTTTGTTGGCACAACTAAACATTGTATTATTTTGAATGGTTTCTCGTTTGTTGAACTGCTTGAGAATAATATAACAATTGAATTTTGTGATGTTTGGTTTTTGACTGCAAATGATTGTTTTTAGCAAAATTAAAACTGACTTTGACTTTAGTTGCGTGCATATAATTGGAGAACCTAGGCATATTTTAAATGTCTATAAAAAGTTATGTGCACTTATAATGATTTTTGATTTTCAATTAAAGGTTTTCTTGGTTAAATAATAATTGTTGCTGTTTACATATACATACTTCTTGGTATTGCAAAGAAATCTGTTAAATTATATCAGTTGTTATTAATATATATTTGTTAGTTGTTTGAAACAATTGCACTATAAGTCAAATGTGTTGCCCGTTCGTAATATTATAATAAAAATTGTTTAAAGAGAATTGCTTATAATGTTGTCTAATATATACAAAACACAAATCAAGGCTAACAACAGTTTCAGCACGCCAGTCTGCTACACGCTGCTAATAATATACATAAGTATGTGTGTTTCATTGTGATATTTAAAAAAAAAATTTAAATATATATGTTTATATACGTAATAATAAGTAAAATTTTGATTTGCCTATTTTGCGTGGACTGCGCGTACAGTTAATTAGAATAATTGTAATAATAATATGCACTAATTCATATACATAAATTAAAGAGAGAAAATAGACACTAAGTATATGCACTTACATTCAGCAAATTTTGATTCATGTTGAACAAATTATATTTTATACACAAAGGTGAGCAATTCTTAAAGCATGATATAAAAAATGCTAAGACTCGTCTTTAAACAATTTTATAATTATTAGTAAGTATATCGATTTAATGTTTTTTGTTTTTTTTTTTTACAATTATTAACTATTAATTTGTAGTAAACAAAGAATAAGTAATGTATGGGTAATCAATCTTTTTTCTCTCCGAAAAATAAAACACGTACCTGAGCGTTTCTGCACGCCCCACCCCCGCCCCCGTGGCTGCGCGTTGTCACCTTTTTGTTGCCAACTTTTCTTGGGCGTATTTGGGCAAACTGCACGGGGCCAGAGGTTGGCATGCAAAAATTCTATACAATTCAACATTCTCAAGCTGTTACTCATTACACTCGACTCTAAGACCTAACATTAGGTTGATATTTCAGTATCTCACGCCCTCACATGCGGCTTGCAGTTTTCAGTTTTCGCTTTTCGCTTTTCACTTTTCTCTATTGTATTTACTTGTAAGAATGCCATTTTGTCTGTGTGTGTGTGTATTGTTGGGTATTTCTTTAACATTTCTTTTTTAATGTGTTTGCATTTTTTAGTACATTTGGTTCGTGCAATGTTTTCTGTTTGGATCAGACACAAAGCACAAAACAAAGCGCCCAGACCTGGCATGCTTGTAGATTCATAGTTAATAAACTTTTCAAATTATTTGGTTGGTTTCAACGAACCGGCCTTGAAATTATGCTGAACATGCTTCGAAATATTAGCTAAATTTCGTATAATTTATAACGTTTGCTTCTTAATACATATAAACCGTATAATTGCACTTTATTTTTATTTTCATTATTTTTAATTTGATTTTTGTTTATCGTCTTTTTACATATAATTTGTTTTACTTTTTTTGCAATTTTTTTTCTTAAACAAAATATTTGTTTTGCAATTGCATATTTTTTTGTTTGGAATTTTGTTTTTTTCTTTAATGTGTGTTTCTTTTTTTTAGTTTTTTTTTGTATAATTTTGTTTTATAAAATGTTTACACTGCATTGTTTTATTTTCAAAGCTGTTATTATAATTTTGTTTATAGTAGACAGGTTTTTTTTTCTGCATTTCTGGGTAGTTTTGAGTAAAAAATGTTCCAAAATATATTTACACCTATATGCGTTCTGAAATGTCGTCTGTTTTGTAGTAATGTGCCGTAGTTGTTGCCCTGCTATTTTAGAGTTCGAAAAAGTAATCTATTGCCATATTATTTTCTCTGCTGTTTGTTGCAACTTGTGGCTGCAGTTAAGAATTCTCTTTCGCTTCAAAAACATGATAGTTTTGCTTGTGCTCTGTGTAGTTATTGTTGTTAATTATTTTTATCCGATCATTTTACAATTTGTTTATATCTTTTTTTTATATGTTTCATTATTATAATAAGTTTTCATTATTAATTTTTGTTTAGATTGTGTTTGTTTTTCTTGTATGCCTAACCAACATTAGTCAGAAAAAGTTTCTTCAAAATTTTGGATTATTAATCACAGATAGTGTGTCTAATATATATGTATATATGTATGTATAATAAATATTTATGTATACTTCAAATATAATTAAATTAGCAATAAATACTTTTTGTTTTTTGATTTTTTGTTGTTGTTGTCGTATAATAAACAATTTTTTGTTGGTTTGATACGCACACGTTTTGCACGCCATCATGCAAATAATTTACTAAATTTTACATTGTTTTTTTTTTTGATTTCTTTTGATACACCAAATGCCATTTTTTTTTTGTTTTTTTTTTTGTTTTTAATGTAGGCCTGAATATAAATTTTGAATTTTATCGTACAGATATTTGTTACTAACCACAACATTTATGCACATTGAATGTATTTTTAAAGATTAGCCAATAAATATACTTTAAACTTTCCATGCTTAAATTATAAGTAATTTATTGTGTTTTGCTTTAAATGCTTTTAAATGATTTTGTTTATATTCTTTTTACTTTCTTTCACAAATTAACTGAATAGAATTTTTGTTATATATTTTTGTTTTGTCGTTACAATTTACTAAACACTTTGACATACCGACTTTAAAAATACATATGTTTGTTGTATATATATTTTTTTTGTTATAATTAAATTGTTTTTATTTTTATTTATTTTTTAATATTTTTAATTCTTTTTGACACTTACTAACTAGCACACAAAATATGTTTTTTAGGTACATTTATATATATTTACTCTTTGATTTTTTTTTGTTTTTGATTTTTTATTTACGCATACATTTAGTAACCCATCTATAATTTTGAAAAGTTTCTTAAATCAAGAGACATCGAAAGGGCATGTGTGACTCAATGTTGGCCAAAAAAGGTGTTACAAGTGTGTACTGGTAGGAGAGGTTGTTACTTTTTACGGTGTAAATATGTTAGACGTTTCATTTGTTGTTGTTGTTCTTGTTGTTGCTTTTCTTGTATATTGTGTAAAGATGTGTATAGAGTGTATAAGTACATTTAAATATATATAGTTGCTCAAAATGATCATGTGTTTTGTTTGAGGTATACGCGTAGTGATGAAGACACACACATACATAAATATATATATATATTTATATATATATATAGATATCGAGTTATTTAATGCTTATATCAAGACTTGTTTTCATATCATTTCTTTTATATATATTTTTATGGGCCATTATATTTGCCGAATTATTTACTTAGCCAATGTGGAATTTTCTTTATACTCTTTTACTGCCTAAACACATAGTTAAATTTTATTTATTTAAACACCGAAACATCAAAATTTGTCTTTCATATACAAGTTGCATATATTTAATAATAATATTTTTTTGTTGCTCTATATATTTTGTATGTAATTTTCTTTCTCTTGGTGTCTTGTGTAATATGTAAAACTTTAATTTTGATTTTTTTAAATTATATCGAATTTTTTTTTTTTGTGAATTTGATGGGGTCGATTTGGGTTGTGTCTTTTTGTTGGTTTTTGGTGGTGGATTTAGTTGTTGTGAATTTTGCGTTTGCGTATATTTCAATTTGGTTTTTGATTTTTTGTTTTATTATCATTTTGTGTGCTTTTATCTAACGTTTCTCGTTCCTCTTATCAATTTATTTAATTTGTAAATGTGAAGGCAGCTTTGTTTATTGATTTCCGTTTTTTTGTATGCTTCATTTTCATTAAGGTTTCAGGGTTGTAAGTATTCATTTATTTTCGACTTTAATTAATGGAAATTAATATGTCATTTTGTTGAATTGAAATGAATTTAAGTATAATTTGGTTGTAGTTTTTGAATTTTGTTTTGCTATTTCTTGTTCTTGTTGTGTTTTTTGTAGTGTTGTATTGTTATGGTTATTGTTATTATTGCTTGTTGGCTATTAAGTTTGCTGTTGTTATTGATCGGATATTGTAGATGTTGTTGTTGTTGTTGTTGTTGGTATTCATTAGTTATGGTCTTTGCTGTGGTTATTGTAGTCGGGTTTGTCAGTAGCTATGCAACTGGCGTCTGCATTGCGTTTGCGAAAGTCAAGTGAGAATCACAATTGAAGTGCTTAAGTCAAGTTTTCAAAAGATTAAAACGTAGAAAGTTTGGAATGTTTCATTTTCCATGAATTTTGGTAACAATTCGCAAGCAGGCGCTGCATAGATGGGCTGTTCTTTGCTTGTAACTGCTTTGCTGTTGATATTTTTTTTATTGCATTGTGGGCTGTTGGTTTGTTTTTTGTAATTTTTAATTAAAAAAATATATATATGTATGGGGGTCTTTTGTTTTATCTTAGTTTTTCGGTACTTAACAGAATAGAGAATGCAAATAAAAAATGTTTTCTTTTGTTTTAAGTTCAGTTTTGGTCTTATAATATTATTTTGCTGTTTATTTACTTGGTGTTGTTGTTGTTTATTTGTTTTTAGGTTTTTGTTTTGTTTTGTTTTTAGAAAGTTTGTACAAGAGAATGCCTATTTGTCGATTGTCAAAAACTAAACAATTAATATACATAAATACTGTGTGTATTTATGCATGTTTGTTTGCTTGTTGTTGTTGTTGGTGTTGTTATTGTTTGTTACTGTTCTTGTGTACTTCATATGTGTAAATACATATTTAATTATGTTTGTATGCTATAATGTATGTCTTGTATTGTGTTTATTAACTACTAACAATCAGAGCCAGGACGCTGCTCTATATGCCCCGCCGCTTCCCACTTATCAAATCGGGCTCTTTGCTTTGTTATGCATATATATATATATATATATATGTATATACATATATAGCGTATATATACTTAAAAATTTGGTTTGCTTTTTCTTATATGATTTATAGACACATACTCAATCTTCGATTGCCTGTACAATACAACTACACGTGACCGGGTGCTCAACTAACCACTGCCCAACTAGAAACTATAGTAGTGTGTGGCCAGCGGAGGCCACACAAATGTTGGTGCCACCTGTGGCTGCTGCTGCTGCTGCGGACAGTCGCCTGAATGCCACCTGCTCTATAACTGCTCCTCGGGTGCGTTGCAATCGGCCTGTTCGGCCTTGATCTGCGCCAGCTTCTCGTGCAATATCGAATTGCTGGGTGAGATTTGCGCTGCTGTTGGCTCCAGCTCGTATTTGACACCTGTGCTGCCATTGAGATCCATAATTTTGTTGCCAGCACCGGCGAGCTGAGCCGAGCTGTGCGATTGCTCGCTCTTCAAGCTGCTGGCGTCCGTTTCCGAGTCGCGCGATGTCATGCGGCTGCGTCCATTCCCGTTGTTGTTGTTCTTGTTGTTGTTCCTGCTGCTGCCGTTGTTGTTCTTGTTGTGCGCCAGGTCGCTGTTGTTGTTATTGTTGCTATTGTTGTTGTTGTTGTTGTTGCTGGAATGCTCATGATCCTCATCACTGCTGGCACTTTCGGCGCTGCGCATGGGACTGAGGCGTTCGCGCTTAATATCCGAATAGGCGCTCAGCGGGCTACCCGGACGTTTGACGCTCTCGGAACTGGAACAGGCGGCGCTGATGTAGTCATTGCTACGATTATTGGTAAATGGCAGTGGCGTCTTCTTCACCAGCAGCTGATCCAGCAGCGCATTGCCATTGCCATTGCCGCTGGTGCCGCTGCCAGCAATAACATCGCCATCCTTCTTGAGGGAGTTCCGTATGATGCCGTCGTACATGTTCTCGGCAAAGTCCACGGCGCTGGTCATGTGCACGCCGCCATGGCCATGATGATTGGCGACCACGCCCAGCGGGCTGCTGCGCATCACCTCGGCCAGGTGCGAGTTAAGAAACTCAGGACTGCGATTGAAGTCCAGTGCATAGTTGGCGCCAGCATTTGGCTGTGCCCAGAACATGCTCGGCTGGAAGGACAACTGCGGTGCGGCATCAAAAATGGGCAGCTTCATGCCATTGGGTGCTGCCGCTGTCCCAGCTGCCGCACTGCTGTTGTTCTTCAGCGCGTTGCTCAGCTTGGAGCCGGAGCTGTTGTTGGCGTTGCTGCTGCTGTTGCCGGACTTCAGCTTATCCAGATGATTCAGTGCCGTCAAATTCACTTTATTTGCTGCGCCTGTCAGTCCCACGAGATCCGGCTGCGGCTTCGGCTCACGTTTGCGTGGCCGCATCAAATGCCTCTCCTTCACCTTGTACTCCAGCGTTGAGTGTGGCACACCGTAATAGCTGCCGGCACGATGCACAGACATCTCGCCGCGCTGTACGGCCTTGACTGCCTCCACCAGGCTGTCTCTGTCATAGTTGCGGTACTTACCCCGCTTCGGTCGCGTGCCCTTGCCGGCGGCCAGTGCAGCGGCATCCTGTGCACTGAGTTGCTGATGCTGGTGCTGATGCTGGTGGGCATGATGGGCGCTCAGATGGCTGTGATGTTGCTGGGCGAGCAGATTAGGTGAGGCACCGAAGCGTGAGGTGTCTGTGCCGCCAATAATTTTTGCCACCGATATGCTGGGCTTTCTGCCGACGTTGCCGCTGCCACCGCCACCACCACCACCGCCGCCACCGCTGCTGCTGCACTCGCTGCCGCTTGTGTTGCCATTGTTGCGCTTATCCAGACCCAACAGGCTGTCCTGGCTGCTCTGCTCGTTGATCTTGCGCTGTATGGTGTTGGCCATCATCTTCTGTATCGATGTTGCCGATGACGACAGCAAATTGCCGCTGCTGTTGCTGCTGTTCTGCCTGTAGCTGTTGTTGGCCGCGACGGCGGCTACAGCTGCTGCAAGCATTGGTGAGGCGGAGTGTGGACTGTGATCGCCGCCGCCGTTGCGGTTGCTGCTGCTGTTTGAGTTGTGGTTGTTGTTTTTGTTGTTGCTGCTGCTGCTGCTGCAATGCAGCGTGGGCGAGACGCTGGGCGCACCGCTGACCTTGAAGGACGGAATCTTCAGTATGGGATCCTCGCATGCCTCATTGGCATCCAACGAGGAGCTGGTCTCAGGCGTTTCAGACTTTGGTAGGTGCCGGCGATAGGCGGCAACTGCAGCAACACTATTTAGCTGCTGCTGCTGCTGCTGTTGCTGCTGTTGCAGCAACGAGACGCTGCCGTTACTCTCGAGGCCGGGCGCCACAACGCCGGCGAGCGCCTCGCTCATGATGCCGCCACTGTTGGCCATCAGCAGCGTTTTGAACAGGTCACCCAGCGTCTGCGTCTCGTCCAGCTTGGGCATGGCGCCAATGCCCGCTGCCAGCATTAGTGTATGCAACAGGACACGTGCATCGATGGGCATGGGCAGTCCAGCGGCATTGCCGCCAGCTGTTGCAGCAGCTGCAGCTGGTATGTGTCCAGTTGGTGTGCCGCCGCTCTGTGAACGCGTCGGCTTTGGCGACATAACTGATTCCAGCTCGTCGCCCAGCTCGCTGCCATTGTGCTCGGATATGCTGGTCAGCTTGCACAGATGATCAGTGGCTACAATGCGTTGGGCGATTTCATTAAAGCCAGGCGCTGGCGTCGACGCATTGCTATCGCCTTCGCCAGCCTCCTCGCCGGATTCATCCTGCTCGTCCAGATCCAGTTCGTGCTGCAGCTGCTGCTGCAGCTCTGGCGGCGTTGGCACGTTCGTCCTTTTGCCGTCTAAGGACATTTTGCACTGCTTTTTGCGCAGCATGGTGCGCTGCGCTTGGTACTGGCTGGCCGCTTTGCGCGTGCCCAGCTTATTGACCAGCACATCCTGCAGCACGCTATTCAAATCCTCGTTGCTGTACGTGTGGCGTGCCGCTGCTAGGGGCGTGGCGCAGTCCGACAGAGCTCTGGAAAGGATAATAACAAGAATAAGATAAGTTTTTATGCGCTTGCAAGTGCATTCGATTAGCTAGGGATTGGATGTTTACTATATAGTAAATATATATCGACTTTGCAACTATATAAAAACAAGAAATATCGGATATCTTCGGCACGCCGAATATGTTTTTTTTCAAAAGCTTTGTTTCTGATCGACACTTCCTCTAGGCTCTAGTACAGCGATATGTTATGGTTATACATATATGGGTTAATGAGGCTGAGAATTTGATGCTTAACAGATCATTCCTAAAACAGCTATATGATATAGAGCTAGAAGCCGGATTAGTCCGACATATTAACTGCTTTTACCTAGAAGATTAGCGTATGCAATGTTACGTGACGATAGCTTTAAGGCTGAATGAGTAAACAGAGAGACAAACAAACGTATTTCAGCTTGGCTGTTGATACTGATCAAGAATATATATATTTCATGGAGTCGTCTCGACGTCTCCTGCTATGTGCTCCACATGAATTAAAAAAAAAGTTTATAGATTTAAGTTAATTAGTTTTAGAAATTTATAATTGAATCGAGATTGCAAACGGATGGAGATTGAATTTGTGTAGAACTAGATAAGCTATTGAACATGGACCATAGAGGTAATTGACCAGTCAAAGAGTATATATATGTTCCTTAGTAGCTTTGCTGGCACATCAGTTCCCTTTGACAGCATTTTGTGAGTGACTGCAGTTCAAAGCAGAATGCAGAAGCTGACAAAATATTATTTTCACTTTTGCCACTTCCTGATGCCCGGCGAACATACATTTTTTTTTGGTGCTCATATATTGGGCATCCACACATACACACACACACACACACACACACACTTAAAAGGACTGACAATGAGCGCTTCTTAAATGTCTGCAGCAGGCAGCGGCGATGTTGTCCTTGTCAAAGGCAATGGCGAGGATGCAGCATAGAAAAATTTGTAACGCTTGTTTTTTTTCTTTCTGATTTCGGCTGCTGCAGAGACAAAAGATGACACGCCAGGAGGGGTGAGTGGAAGGAGGTGGTGGAGGGGGTCGAACGAAGATGTCAGCCTGCCAGCCAAGGCAGGGACAAACATGTTTTTGAAGTTCATTAGACGAATTTCAAAAAAAGCATTTTTCACTTAATGCTAAGCCCGAGCCAAGCCGCACCACTTGGCGCTTTGGTGATGCCCCCAGCCACTCTGTTGGCCGGGTGGAGCGCACTTTTGGTAGCCCATTTCAAAAGGCAACTTTTGTGCAAGGAAAAAACAACGACAACAACAACACGAACAGCAGCAGCATCAGCAGCAGCACCCGCAGCAGCAACATCAGTGAAAGCCGTACGAAATTTTTCTTTTCTTTATGCGCAGCCAACAGGGAGACGCGTTACGAGACGAGGCGGGGCGAGACGCGTCGCGGACGAGACGAGACGAGACGCGACACGACGAGACGAGTTGAGACCAAGACCCTTTTGGCAGCGCTTGGTGGGTGGGGTTTTGGAATGCCGGGCGGCTCTGGCCATGGCTACGGTTTCAGTACATTGCACTGGCTGTCGCCAGGCAGCGGAAACGCACAGCTTCTTGTCCTCGCTGTGGGCTGTGGGCCAGCCCAGAAAAGTTGACTGAAAAGTTGGCGCTTTTTTTGTTGTTGTTGCAACCTTTTCTTTATGCGTTTTTTCGTTTAGTTTTATTTTTAAGGATCGCGCGCGTCTGGAATATGTCTGAAAATTACGCAGACAACGAAACGTGTACGGCTGTAACAGCAGGTGGCAAGTGGCAATGACTGCAGCAGTTCTGCTGACCAAAAACTTGCATGTATTTCTGCTTTTTAATTTTCTTATTATTTATTATTTTGGCCAAGTATATACTAAATAATACGCCCGAAAAAATATGGAAATATGTATAAATGTTCATAATTGCGCCGGGCCAGGTGTCGAGGTGCGACAGCAATAGCCGGTTAAAAAAGGATTGCAAATATAAATGAAAAATGTCATTTCAATGTCGTTTTGATTTTTGTTGTTGTTGTTTTTGTTGGTGTCGTTTACCTTTTGGCTGCACTTCAATTGCAATTTGCCTTTGCAAGAGCCGCTGCAGCAGTCGCTGCTGTTGGCGTCAAAGCCGACAGCGCTGCCGCTGCCATGAATTTCGTTGCTGTTTTTGTTGTTGTTGTTGTTGCTGCTGCTGCTGCTGTTTTTGTTGCACGCATGTAGCGAGGATTCATTTGCGTTGCAGTTGCCCGCACCGCTGTGTGTGTTTTTTTGTCGTTCTCTTTTTTTCGTCGTAATTTTTGTGTTTTTTTTTTGTGTTTTTCGATTTTACTGACATTTTGTTTTAATTTGTGGCAGCAACGGCAACCAACAGCTATGCAACAAAAATAGGGTTGATTTTTTTGCTTTATTTTTGTTGCATTTTTGTGTTAAATTTGTTGTTGTTGCTGTTGTAATTTTGACGCTTGCTGCAATTGCATCGGCAACTGCTGCCGCCGCCGCTGCTGCTGCTGTTGCTGTTGCTGTTGCTGCTGTTGTTGCTGACATTTTTATGCGCATATCGCATTTTGTCGGTTCATCCCACACCTTTTGTATGCCTTAAATACACAACAATACACACACACACACATGCAAGCACAAACACACAAACGCACCCATACCTTACATCCACTTACATACATACATGGAATGCACAATGCGACCAATGCGTTGGTAATAATTTTCGGGCTTACCGAGGTCGTTAGGTTAAATAATGACATGCGAGTTTTCCCTTTTTGAAACAAAAAATAAGAACTTTGAAAAGATACTTTAACCTGCATATAATTAAAATATTGAAACATAAAAACGCACTTAACCTCAAGCTATTAAAGTACAAGAAAATTGGTAAAAAAAATTCGGGACTCTGCCATGATGAGAATTTGGGTACAAATGGATGTAGAATTGTCTTAGCCGAAGGACATAATAAACAGTTTATACTCTAAAATATTTATGTAATTTAAGAAATTATTAAAACCTGCACACGTATTGCCCAGATAATTGAATAAATTAATATGCCAGTAAGAGTTCAATTTGTAATTATAAAATATATTAAAAAGATATTAAAAAATATTAACATTTTAGATTGATTTGAAAGACTAGTTATGTGTGACCCATAAAATGAAATATGTTAAAAACCTTTTGTACATAGATATTACAATTATTAATATAAAATATAAATAATAATATTACTTTGTCAAGCAAATAGAAAAAGTTAAAAAATATAGTAATAAGAAACCTCTTGAATAATAAATTAAATCTATCATACTTAAATAAAGAAAATGATATTTTGATATTGACTGTCGCATTTAGGGCATAGGGTATAGGTATAGGGTATACAAGTATTGTGTATTGTTTATTGGCTGTGGCTAGCTTGTTGCATGAGAAATGGGTAATCAAAATAACAATAATAATAAATTGTTGAAGTTTTCTTAAGGCTATAGATCTCTATACTTAATTTCTTTAAAGTCAGGGTCCTCATATGTGTGTAATTAATTTAATTTGTTCGTACTGTTGTCTTTTGATTCTGTTGCGTGGCCGCTAAATTTTTCAGTGGCGGGACGCAGCGAACGCTTTTCTGGGCTTTGGGGGCGCATGTGGGCAGGGCTGTGCACAATGTCCCGTTCCAGGGTTATATTCAGTCTGTGTTTGTGTGTTTGTGCGTGTATGACTGACGACGCCGAATGCAATTTTGTTAAAAATGCATCAAGTGCATGTGTGCGTGTGCCGGTGCCTGCACGTGTGTTGTGTGTATGCGATTTTTATTTGTGTGTGAATGCAATTGCATGTTTGTTTTTGTTGCCAATGCAGGCGCCCCAACTGCGTTGCCCGCCCCACCGACTGCTGCCGCACTGCTTGCCCCTTGCACTCGATGCGTGCGCAGCAAACAACCACCCACACACGCATACACATACAGACACACACATGCAAACACACTAGCATACTCGTGTATATGCAGTTGCATTTTTTCGGAAGATATGCACTCATTTTTTTACGGCTGGCGCTGTTGGCGGCTCTGCCGCTGCTGCTGACGTTGCAGCTGCTGCAATTTTTTGTATACTTTTTTTTCTATCTCGCTCATTTAAGCGACATTTCATTCACTCACGCATAAAACACATAACGGCAATCAGGCTGGTTGGCGGGCGGGCGTGGCGGGGCGGGCCTGTCCGGCAGTGCGGCGGGAGGCCAACCAACCAGGCCGACCCACCTGACCGCCCAACGGTCATTGAAATGACAAAAATATGGCAAGAAAAAATGAACGAATGGGGCAAGGGGGCAACGAAAAAACGGTTAAAAATTGCTGCCCTGCAGCAGCAACAACAACAATAATAACAACAAAAATAATAACAACAACAACAACGGACTATAACAATAGCAAGTGCACGCATTAAGGTTTTTTATTTCGCTCTTTTTTGTTTTTTCCTTTATTATTTTTTGGGGCCAAATGGGGAAAGCGACGCCGCAGTCGCTGCCGACGCCGACGTCGACGCCAACGCCATCAGTCTATGCCAGTTATTACGCTCACAATCTTTTTTCGGTTCCTGCGTGTGTGTGTGTGGGTGTGCACAGAGAATTTTTCGTAAACGAAAAATAATGAATACATATATATATACACAGCGACAACACGCTGCCGCTCTGCTCGCCCGCTCGCCTGCTCGCACACCCCTTTGGCACATTGCATAGAAAAAAGTAGCAAGAAGAAAGACCAAAAAAAATAAATAAAAAAAAAGAAATAAACGTAAAAAATGTAAAACGCAGTGGGGAAAAAAAAGCGATCGATATGATGCACTCATTTTCTGTCTGCTGCGCCCGGTGACGACGACGGCGGCGTCGCTGCTGCAGCGCCGGCATCTCGGCGCTTGACTTGGAGTGGCGATGTCGCCGCCTCATCATCAACAGCAGCAGCAGCAGCGCCAGTAGTCTCTATATATATACAAAAAAATCCGTAATAATAAACGCTCGAAAAAGCCAAAAATTGCAGCGTCAGTAGCTTTTGTATTTCAAGTGTTTTTGGCTGAGTCCTTGGGGATGGGCATGAGGATGCATTTGCTAGCTATGCATGTATGTGTGTGTAGGTGTGTAATTGCGTGTGTGTGTGTGCCTGTTAGCAGAGCCACAAGTACGGCAACTGGACATGTTTGGCAAGCCATTGAGCACTTGCCGATCTGTGGCTTTTAACTTCTTTAGCCTGCTGCAGCAGTTCCTGTCAACTCGCATCCTGCTCTTCTTTTCCATTGTGTGTGTGTGTGTTCTTTTTCTATTCTTCACATTTTTCGTTGCTTTTTATTACAACAATTAAAATAGGTGCACGATGTTGCAAGGCAGCAGCAACTGCTAACAAACACTTGGCCATGCTTTAGACAATAGACAAGGACTCGTGTTTTGCGGCTCAAGTGGCAGCCACAGCCGTCAACGCTGCTGTTGCCGTTGCCGCTGCTGCCACAGTTGCCACAAAAAAAAAAAACAACCGAAAAAAAGTAATGACGAAAATTGTGGAAGTGCTGGAAAATTATGCACACGCTGACGACGCCCCTGACGCTTGTCTCTGTCGTCTGAAGTGCGCACACACACACACAATCACAAAACATAAATAATAGGCTAGGTGGTCCTGAACATTTTAGAGTAATTAAAAAAATAGCAGGCAAAAATATAAAGGAGTTAAGATGCAACACACACACAGAAACCCACACACAGTCACACGTACCCAGCGTGAAATACATAAATTTTGTATTCTTTGCTTGGCTCGCTTTTTTCTCCTTTTTTTCGGCTGCTCAAATTTGATGCAAATTTATGCGGTTGCAGTACCCCGCAGACCGCCCAGCGTCAGTAATTAAGCGTGGCCAACGCAGCGTTGGCTGCGTGCTATGGGGCGTATGTGTAATTTTCGGCATCGTTTCATAAACCGCACTCAAACCACACAGAACAATCACACACATACGCACACACACAGCTGCATATGCTCAGAGAAGGCGCATGACACCTACTTATATGTAAACACACACACACACACACGTATAGACACGTGCATGTGTAATTGCACGATTTTTACATAGGCGCACAACAATAAAGCTTCCCGAGTGCCACCCAGTAGTCAACCCGCCCCGTAGCCCTATTAAGTATGCTACAATAAATGCAGTGTCAGAGGCGGGCCAGTGCCCAAAGTGCAATTATCTCATGTATTGTCTGCTGGAACACCCACTTTTTTTTCTTCTATTTTTTTGTGTAATTTTTATTTGTAGTTAAAGTTGGGCATAGCACATTTATTATGAAGCTTGCTTGTTTACCCAAATATCAGCTGCTTTAATTGGCTTGATTATCTGTCGTGATTGAATCTTTTAATTCTTCCTCTAATTCTTAGCTGCTTATAGCGCAGACAAAATAAAGCTCTAGGGCAGGGATGCTTGTTTGATTTATTGGCTACAATCTTGAAGAGATTTGCAACCTAGAAAATAATATTTTTATGAGCTCTTAAATTTATTTGAGGTTCTTAGCAAATGAAAGGTTATTTATTTATTTTAACTACCATAATTTAAACTAATATCAGAATAAATATTTTCGATAATTACGAAATGGATGCTATAATGGCTCAGTCTTAGCCAGCAAATTTATATTTTATCAAAAGATTCAACTTTATTTTTCAAAATTATTCAAAGTTCATTCTTTTTTTGTATATTTTGAATATATGTTTCTGTAGTGCATTGTTATATGCTTACGTTTGCGTACTGCCAGACTTATATAAATTAACAAATACATATTATATTCACAAATATATTATAATACACAAATACAAACTCACCTGGCTGTCTTTATGTCGCCGCTGATCGATGAATTTGGCGATGGCTTGCTGCTTAGATCCAATGGTGCATCTGCATTCGGACTGGGCGTATCCTTGAGTGTGGGACTGCCAGCGGCGGCTGATAATTCCGAGGTAGTTGGTGTTACCGAGTTAGCATGTTGTTGATTGGCCAGCGTGTTCATCAAATTGAAATCGGCCATCATGGTGAACTGGGCCAGCTTGGCGGCCATCGAGTCCATCGATGTCATTTCAGTTGCTTGCTGGGTGAGCAGCTTGTAAAGTTCTATAGAAGTTGTTGACGATGACGTCGTGGCGGCGTTAGCGGCGTTGCGTGCTCTATGCTTGTTGTTGTTGTTGTTAATGTTGTTGTTATTTCTGCTGCTATTGTGCAGCGATGCGCTCGAATTGCTGTCGCTGTCGTGCTGCATGAGAAAGTTGCGTTAAGTAGACGATAATTTGATGTCACATAAAATAAAAGTATAGGAAGAGTGAGCGGCTTACCTGCTGCACAGCTGTGCCGTTGTTGATGATGTTGTTGTTGTTGTTGTTGCTGGACGCGATTGCCGTTGTTTCGGCCACCAATTCGCCTTTGGCGTTTACCGTTAGCAAGCGACCGTTAACACAGAAATTGCACTTATCAGACGGTGTCCAATCGTTGGGTTCTGGCGGTGGTGACGGTGAGCCTGAGCTACGTGATGTTGCACTTGAGTCGTGGTCTTGTGATGTGTGGTTGTTGTCTGCAATTGTATGCAACGCTTGGTTCTTGTCTCTGCTAAGCAGCACAGTTTTTGTCAAACTTACCAAAATCGCTTTCAAATGGCAGCGGTCCGTTGTTGTTGTTGCTGTTGTTGTTGTTGAAATGTTGGCCGTTGGGCTGCGCTAAACGGTGGTTCAGTGGCTCGCAGTGGCTCTGTTTGTGTTTGCTGTCTTCTGCTTCTGTCGTTATTGATATGGGCTGTTGCTCTGCGATATTCAATTGGTTGCGCGTCAGTTGATCTTGATAATGTTTCCATTTCCTGCGACCCATGAATTCCTCAGCGACGCGTTCTAAGCCTAAAAAAGGAAAGAAATTTTTATTGTAGTTTAATAAAAAGTGGTGCCACCTGTGCCATAAAATATGCATAAGATGAATAGGCTATTATGGATTTTCTAATGCAAGTATAATTTGCGTATTTATTCGATTTTTTTTCTTTCCTTTTTTCCGCCCCTAAGGCTTGGGAATTTCAACAGACATAAATTACTTAATTGAAATGTAAGGTACAGAAATGAAATAAAAATGGTAAAAGAAATGGCAGCGGAACACGCTGCGTATGCGTATTATTACGTATACGCCTGGCATTCGGCTTGCGAGCTGCAAATTGATAGATTTGCGTTCGTTGTTTGCATATGAGAGGTAAATTTCCTTGCATATCCTTGTGAATGCCGTCTAATTGCCACAAAAGTTATGCAATTTAATGCAAAATGCATAGGCCGCCAACGGAGGCGGCGTGGCCACTCCAGTTGTCGTGCATGCGTGCCTCAAAAGCAAAATAAAAAAAAAAAAAGAAAACTTTTGTGCTTATATGGCAAAAGGTTACGCGTCAACTCACACGAAATGCGAATTAAATATCGAGGCAGGTTAGAGCAAAGAGTGCAACGCCAGGCGTCTTTCGAAACAGCTGCAAAAGCTGCAAATTTGGTGGCAACATGCGGCAAATGCCGCGTTTTGTAGCACTTTGTTACAAGCATTTGCATTTACAAAACGTATACACATTTTCTTCTTCTTTTGCTCAGTGTTTTTTTTGTTTTGTTTTTGTATATTGTTAAGCCGGAAGTTAAGCAAAATTTTTGCGCTTCAGCCCAGCCCAGGTCAGCCAGTGCGTCAGCTATGCGTTGCCCGCTTCATGTCCTTGTCGCTGGCGCGTCCTGATTGCGCAAAAGTGCGTGCAGTGCGTGCGGGGTGCGTGTGTGTTGGCTACCCAAGCTTGCCCCTCAAGTGGGCCACAGGCGCCACAGCAGCAACAGCAGCAGCTGCTGCTGCTCATAACGGCGCATAAGTAGAGCGGCATGTTCAAACTTTTAAGCGTTCAAATTGTATTGCAACTGCAGTTTGCTGTCGCTGCCGTTGTTGTTGCTTCTACCCGTTGCATTTTTGAGGCGCTCAAATAAACAGGGTCGCCGACGCCGTCCTCGCTTCGGGGGTTGCTGCTATTGCTGTTGCCGTTGCCGTTGACGTCGCACGCACCAAAAAAGGCGAAAAAAACGAGGTGAATGCACGCGCGGGACTTACGAAACTCCAACTTTAAAGTGCAGCCAGCTCAAACATACATACACACACACACAAACACGCACACATAGGCGCATAAAAAAGCATTACGCACACTCGCATATACAAGCGAAATTCCGAGGGTTGCTCTACGCTGGCGCTGCTGCAGCGCGGTTGCATACAATGCGGTGCACGCACGCACGCACAAAATGTCTGCCTAGCCATAGGCATGTGTATGCGTGCGCGTACGCGTGTGTGTGTGTGAGTGTGCGGGTATGTGTGGTTAAGCGACACACATTGCGTATGCTGACGAAGTCGGCCGCAAGGTGGGATTTCAATGCTGTTGTCGTCTGCCGGAGTAGCGCTTACATTATGCCAAGCAAGCGCCTGAATGTATGCTAAATAGATTTTTCACTGCGTTCTTTTTTTTTCTGTGAACATAGAAAGGTGCATGTCGTCAGTTTTAGACGTTGTCGATAGACAGAGCCCTACGCACACACACATGCAGACACATACGTTCATATAGTATCTATTCAAGGCGACTTGTCAGCTGGATGCCTATAGGCTCCGGCCAGCCAGCCACCTGGTTGCCCCCACCAGCCCAATGGCATGCCGTCTGCCTGACTGTCAGTCTATCTGTCGTTTCTGTTTGTTTATTCGGTGGCTTGTAGCGCGGTTTGTGGGCGCCCTAAAACTAACAGCGCATCAAAAATGAAAGTGCGTTAAATCAAAGTTAGACGCATATTTAAATGCCTGTTTATGCTGTCCCTTGAAATGTCAGGCCTGGCACTGGGCGTATGATTAATATGAAGTTTGCTGAGGTGAGAGGTACATGCAGTTAAAAAAAACCAATTAAACACGCAAACTCATTTAAAAGGCGGCACACCAACACACTCACACACACACACGGAAATGCTATGTGCCATGAGAGACAGCCAGCCAACCCATGCAAACTGGCAAAAGAAATGCACGAAAAAAAATGCAATTATCGATTAATGTACACATTATATGGCTCATACTCGCATTTATACATATGTATACATATGTGTGTGTGTCTGAGTGTCTTTGGTAGATAATCCCTTATGTATACGTAATTTATATATATATATATATATAGCATACGCATATATAGGCGCTACCTTTCGTGGCAGGCATATAAAAGTCATATGCAGTCACAAAAAAAAAAAAGAATATAAAAGCAAGCATTTTTTTTTGGTTTTTATTTTTAATGCTCATCCTTTAATTTCTGCGGCTGTCTAGGGTGTGGCATGGGGGGCTGGGGTCATGTCCATGTCATTTACGCACGTTACATAAGCAAATTTCAGTAATGATATACATAATGTATATCCATCGATACAAAAATGGCTCGGCTGTTGTCGCTGCTGTCGCTATGTGCATTATTCTTGTGGCATGCAACGTGCTGCCGCCTGCCCCTCAAATGTGCGGGTACAACAAGCCTCCCAAGGGGCAGCGTCAACTTATAGCCCCGCTGACATGTCGACAACGACAACCTGACATTTTTTACGGCCTTTACGTTGTTTTGGTTATATTTTGGTTTTTTTCTACGCTGCATTTGTTTCATGCTTAGTTCGTTTTTTCTCCCATTTTTTTTGCTGTGTACTAGTTGAGTTTGGTAATACGAGTGCGTGCCATAATGAAATGTCAAAAGGTGGCGGATATAGATTATTAGACTTCAGAGACATATACATACGTAGCCTGAGCCAAGCGCCGATATTGCTGATAGGTGTATATAGGAAAAGCTTTCAATTCAAAGCACGTGCGTCTAAATGTCAACCGATGCCAAATATGGCGAGTAACAAAAATATCGAATTCGACGCAACTGAAAGTGAATATTTGTATACACAATTTGCAACAAATCAAGTTCTTTAGGCAAATTTCGTTTGAAGTTTTATACACTTTCCACAAATAGGGAAGAGTTAAATAAATTAACGTTAATAGGCATATTGTAAATACATCTTTGGAAACACATGAGATTTTCAAATTTCCATTTATATGATATTTATTTCGGATTGATCTTTACATTAGACTAAACCCAATCAATTTATGCAATTAAAAAAAATATACTCATATATAATAACCTAAGGCTAATTAAATATGTCCCAAAGTATTTAGTGTACTACGCTCATTCTTAATGATAAGAAATAGAAAAATTATAATTTTGTCACGAAATGTGGTATGCATAAATGGACACGTCTTTAACAGGAAGGATATGTATATTGATCAGCAACAGGAGTTGAGCTGATGTAGAGATTTGTCCGTCCATCTATCCGCCCGTTGGTCTGTTTGCATTTAAACTATTTTCTTTGTTTTAAAAGCAGATTGAAGATGGCTAGCTCGGACAGCATACAACTGTCCGATCATTTAAAAAATAAGTACTTGCATTAAAAACCATTTGTTTTTTTAAGATTTCTCGAATAACTTTTGTACTACAAATTTAACACTGCAATGTTTTTCTAACATATCATAGCAGTTTGATATTCTCCAAACAAATTTGCTAAACCGAATTAACTCGGAATTTTAATAAAACTTTTGTATAAAAACAGTTAAGGCTACCTAATTTTCGTCGTTTTCGTTTATTTATGAACAAAACTGTACCGCTGTAGCTTATCTATAAATCATATCTCAAATAATCGCATGAAAAACCCAGAAGCCGAGCTCATGTTGGTGGCTCAGGTAGCTCAAAAACAAATGCTCTCCCGTGTAAAACTTTATTAAGCTAAAAGTAAAATAGGTACATGACAAAAATAAACTAAAAACTTGGCATTACAAATAATTTTAGTAAAATGTGTGGTTGTTGTTGTTGTGGGCTTAACACACGCCATCGCATTTTGCATAGCATTTTAAGTAATGTCGAATGTCAACGTACTTGCAACAGCATTAGCGGGTGGATTGAGGCAGAGGCGGCAGTTAGTTAGTTAAAGGACACCGTCATACCTTTTAATGTTCCCTTGGCGTCACATGTCCTGCCACAACAACAAATTGGTTAAAAACTACAGGAGCAGTAAGCCAAGACAGAGATAGAGCGAGAGAGGAACGAGCGGGAGAGAAAGAGAGAGAGAGCGCGCGAGAAGGTCCGAATAATACAAAAACAGGCAAGTTTCAAAAGCCAAAAGTAAAGCAAAGAAATGAGTTTCGTGAAAATAACAAAAACAACAGAAACAGCGGCTGAAAGGACGAAACGAAATGAAAGGAACTAAACGAGGAACTAAAAACGATGAACTGCGAACTGTGAACTGCGGGCGACGCGTCGTGCGGCCGTGCGTTTTAGGGGCTTGTTAAATGTTGTGTGCAATGAAAAGGACATGCGATTTGCGGCCGCGGGCCGTGTCTATGTGTGTGTATGTGCGTGTGTAGCACGTGACAAGCTTGCCTGTGCCTGTATTTGTATGTATTTAAAACGCTTTTGGCCGAATTCTCCAGCTCGCATGGCAATGCAAAGCGGCAGCGTTGAAATGTAAATGAATTGCACAAAACGCAAGGACATACGCACACCCATACACACACACGACTGGGATGCAGCCGGTGCTGTCAGTAAACGGCCCCAAGTACTCGCACTATGTCCCATGAGCAACCCTTGCAACTGCACAACTATAAGCTACCCCAGCCTACCTCAAAAAACGAAATCAAAAAAAAAAGAAGACTTGGCAATTTACATACTGACAACATCAATACACACACACGCGCACACACACACACACACATGGAAAGCTGCAGTTGTGTGTGCGTTTTTGTGCTTAGAACTTTTTTGTGTGTCACTTTGGCATAGAAATTGTCGTCGTCATCGTTG